ATAAATTTTTTAATTATAAATATTTTAATAAAAATGACTTATGCAAAATTTTATTGAGATTCATCAATTAATTTATAAGAAATAAATATTGTATTTTGTTTATTTCTGAATTATAACTATTTGAATAATTAATGTCTGCATCTTAATGTAACTTCATATAAATATTTTTCAATTCATAAAGTACTTATAAAAAAATTGAGATTTTTATCATTATTTTATAATACATTTTTACATATTTCTATTAAAGTACGAATTAAAAAAATATTGTAAAATAATACAGATTTAAGGGGGCTAATTTGGAGTCAGCGCGGTAAGAAGTGCGTAATTTATATTTATAGAATCATTGATAATATAATGTGTATTAAAAAATATTAGTTTAAACGTTTCGGTTATCGGTTTTAGTTATCTTCAGCAAATACATAATTAATATATTAGCAGAGAATATCTTCTTATCTTTGAAAATATAAGATGTTATCAACTTTCCATCTAATTGGAACGTGAGAAAAGAACAAAAATCACACAAAGAAATTGCCTGTCTTCTTGGTTAACAAGTGATTGTGTTCTAATAATGTTAAAGTAAGAGTTAAAATTACGTAAAAATAACGTTGAAATTGTACAAAGAAAGTGCTTACCTCAATCTATCATTGTGCGATGTTTGTTCACTTTCCGACTAGATAGAAGGTTGATAACATCTTATATTTTCAAAGATAAGAAGATATTCTCTGCTAGTATATCAATTATGTATTTGCTGAAGATGGCTAAAATTGATAATCGAAACGTTCAAACTATTGGGTTGTTCGGAAAGTAATTTCGTTTTTTCCCAACAGAGGACTTATTGTATTTTTTCACAGCCAACTTCACACTTAAGCCGCATAACAATTAATTATTATATATTTTAATTGTTAATTATTATATATTTTGACAGCTGATATAGCAAGGTTTGCTTGTGAAAAAAGTTCGATTGATTCTACGCAGTAGTTTTTGGTTGGTGCCCTATCAAATATGAAAGTGAAAAGCAGCATTTTCGGCATATTTTATTTTTTTACTATCGAAAAGGTAAAAATGCTGTTCAAGCAAGAAAAAATTATCCGACGTGTATGGAGAAGATGTATTGACAGAACGTCATTGCCAAAACTGGTTTGCAAAATTTCGATCCAAATTTTGATGTTGAAGATGCACCACGTTCTGGAAGGCCAGTGAAGCTGATGAAGACACAATAAAGGCATTAATTGATGCAAACCGGCGAATAACAACTCGTGCGATCGCTGAGAGATTAAATTTATCGAATTCGACCGTTCATGATCATTTGAAACGCGTTTCACGTGATTGAAAATCGTCTTTCATTTTCATAAGGAAAAACGAAATTACTTTCCGAACAACCTAATAATACCTTTTAATACACATTATATTATTAATGATTATATAAGTATAAATTGCGCACTTCTTACCACGCTGACTTCAAATTAGTCCCTTTAAATTTGTATTTTACAATTATAAGTTCTATTTTATATTATATATATTTCTTTTTCATAAATTGTAAAAAAATTTTACTTTTATAGAAATAACTTGATTCAGATGGTAAATTGTCTCGAATTTTTTTATATTACTTTTAAATGCAATTTAGAATAATCTATAATTTTTTCAAACAATTCTTAACATATTGCATTTGTCTTACAACCTCCTTAATACATATACAAGTATAATAAATAGCAGATATATTGTGCATATCAAAGACGAAATACATATGTAATATGTATATATAGCAAGTACTATATATCGTACATATTTAAATATATGGATATCAAACACGTAGTTGACACACACACACACACACACACACACACACACACACACACTATATATATAACAAAACGCAGAATATAATATGTCATAAGATGGCGTACCGTAGTAGCATCACATAACATTTAAAAAATCATAAACGATAGTTTTGGGCAAGTTTCTGTGTGCATGGTTATTATAATTGACAATATATACAACTTCAATAAATATATTATTTCATATTTCTAAAAATAGCGGAAATATTCTAAGAGGACAGAGTTATTGCTTATCCTGTATATATAGGGTGTTCAGCGTAAGGTCCGCACGATTTCTCAGATAGGTACTTCCGACGGTTAAAAAAAAGTTAAAAGGTAAATATTCATATGTTTTATTGACTTTTCGATAATGATTTGAATTTGTCTTATAGACCCTTACAATGTTATGGGAAAAAATTGTATGGTGCTATTTAAAAAATTTAACTTTGATTTTGACTTTGATTTTTTAATGAAAACAAATTTTTTTAAGATTCTTTTATCGTATGTTGCAGCCTATATAAAACAGATGAATACTCAGTCTTCAATCTTTTTTTTAACTGTCAAAAGTGTTTGAAAAATCATGCGGACCTTTAAGCTGAACACCCTGTATATTTATATACAGGATGTTTGATAAGTAATGATAAAATTCTCGCATAGGGATAAAGCGGACTAAACTGAGTCTACCATTTTGTGATATTGTTAACAAGATATTAATTACTAAAAATTGCCGAATATTAATCTTCAATAATTTTTGATTTCTAAGTTTTATCACACGCGCGGATCTGTAATTAAAATTTATAATTAAATATTTAACTGTATTTTAAATGTATATATACTATATTCTAAGCGCGGAGTATTTATTAGGGAGTTTTTGTAATATCGTTTATCCAAATACGGTGAACGCTAAACTCACATTATCCTTTTTTTAATTAGTTGTTAAGAAGAAGATAACCTGACCTTAACGTTTATCGTATCTGGATAAACGGTATTACAAAAACTCCCTATTATCCATATTTTACGCATTACGTTCGTGCCCCTTGACATTCACTAAATATATTCAACGCGGATATAAATTATATATAGCATTATCTGTTTTTTTGTAAACGTGATGATATATTATCTAAAGCTAAAGATTACTTTTTTATATTTCAGATTATAGCCATTGAATCATTAGCATAATCGTCAGTCGCTACTCTGTAAGTTGTAAAATAGCTTCAACATACTGTGATTCCGAAATGACAAGCTGAACGATCGATAGTCTTAGTCGCAGAGAAATTGCGCAAAGAGTTCGACGAGCAAAAGCTGTGAATTTAACTTTACGCAACAAGTACAACGCACGAGGTCTGTGTATATAGTGCCAATATGACATATTTACAATCAATTGGGGAAGTAATTGGCTTCCTGTTATTGTCAACCTTCTCGATATTGGATGGCATTATCAAGTCATTCATTCCCAAGAAGTATAAAATGAAGAATATAGGTGGCGAAATTGCCCTGGTGACAGGAGGAGGTGGAGGATTGGGGAGGCTTCTTTCCCTCAGGCTGGCCAACTTAGGCGCCATCGTAATTATTTGGGATATAAACGAGATCGGTGAGTCTAAAATATAGGAATAGAGGGAAGCAACGCGTTACTAATAACTTACTTAATTAATACTAACAACTTATCATTATTATGGATTTTTTACACGAGATTTGATAATAATTTTATAATTTTTTATAACAATAAAGTCAGAGATGAAAAAGTCACTTTTGAAGAGTAACTCATTATTATTACGTATTATCATATTATTCATTAAAAAAAAGTAACTTGTTACTTTACTTATTACGTAACGAAAAATGAATTAGTATAATGATTTCTTTCCAAACATGTCGTTATCATTACCGCCATGAAAAGTCACACATTATCAAATCATTATTATAGAAAATGATAATATTACAATCCAGCAAACAATGTCTATAAAAATGTTTAAAAACATTTAAAAAATAGCTTTGAAAACGTTTTTAAAAATGTTAAAAATAATGGATTAAGTTATTTTATTTTCATTTAAAAAATGTTTATATTTAAACATTTTTTAAGATCAGAAGAAAATATCTTTTTGATCTTAAAAATAGTCTTTTTAACATTTGAAAAAATGTTTTTAACATTTAAACAAAATTAGAAAAAGTATATACATATATTACAAAAATTTTTTTTATTAATTTTTTATTAATTTATTATTTTTTATCAATGATGCCTAAATCTTAAATAATTTTTAATTAATTGTAATTTTTCATTATATTTAATTTTCTTTTTTTACTTAACGAGATTTGAATATGGGACATCGAAGTTAGAAGTCTTTTGTACTTTATCTGTTACGTCATTTAAAGTATTAATATACAGTTTTTATTGTCTATATATGGTATTGTACTTAAGGGGATGCTGGAGCCGCCTGTATTATTAATAAAATTAGCGTTTTTTACATTTTTGTTCTTGTCGAGTTTCTTCGTAGTGGTTTCACAGAATAAAAATTTCTCTTCCACGATTAAAATGTACATGCTAATGTACTTGTTGTATTTTGTGTTCAAAGTTGAAAAAAATAAAAAATTACAGATTTTCGCATACTAATACAGAACTCGGTAATTTTGTACATGAGGACTCACAATGAAATGAAGAGACCAATATTGTAATATCAATGCAAAAATCATTTATGTCACAAGAACATATATTAGTTGCATACATTCAAATAATGTATATTACTTGATCATCAAATACCATTATGACTGAATTAAACTTAATTTTAAGCTTTCTATTTTTATTGTTAATCGACTGAAAATAAATGATTATTGTAGATTAGAACATTATATATTGAACATACCGAAAAAGGCCGAAACGTTTATGATTTTGTAATAATAACTTTAAATATGTGATATCGCTATTAATAATCGGCGTTTTGGCTGAATGCAATTTTTTTAAATATTGTTTATAACTATCAAGCCAATTTTTACCTCTATTTTGTAATTACAGGTTTTTTTATCTATTTTACCTTCAGCATTCGTCGCCGTACTCAGATAAAAGTATAAAGAAATCTGTAATTTTTTAATATAATATCAAAGAACTGGAAAGGATACGGGCAGTATGAGTTAAGCGCAAAAGATGTCGCGCAAATAATATATCTATGAAGTGTGAAACTTTTTTATTTACTAAAACGCACTTACATATTTTGGCTCACTTTTGAGTCCTCCTCAGAGACAACACAAACTAACGTAAATAAACTATAAATAAAATTATCCTATCATGGTGAGCTCTCTTACCTTGAGAATTTAAATGCCAGAATTAAAAAGAGTGAAAGAAAAAGAGAAAAAAGGAAAATGAACGAAAATAAAGGAAATAACGGAAATATCGAAACAGTCAGTGTCATTTGTACGCAATAATGAGTCTTTCTGGCGTCATTTTTTATTACTTTTCAATTTTTATTTTCATGGAATTGATTAACGTTTTAATGTAAATTTTTTCCATTTGTAAGCTTGAATAATATTAGCTAAAAGCTACAAGTGACTCACTGTATCTGATACTAACTGGCCAAAATATCGAGAACTGATTTTTGAATAATTCATAGTAATGTTTGCGATATAATTTGTGATTTGTGATTAGGGTGACCGTCCTTATTTTCGGGATAATTAATTATAATCTTAAGATGTTTAATAAATTAGTTTTTCATATTCTCTATTTTGATATTTCCATTATTTCCTTATTTTTGTTCATTTTCTTTTTTTCTTTTTCTTTTTGGGTTTAATTCTGGCATTTAAATTCTCGAGGTAGGGGAGCTGACCATGACAGGGTAATTTTTATTCTGCTTTGTGAACTTGACACCCGACTTGCCGCAATATGTTTTTTATTTTTTTTTCCGAAAGATCTTCGTATGTACTTGAATGTAGTAACATTGATTTTGTTTGTAGTAGCGCAGAAAAAAAATATCGCGACTTGAAAAAATGTCATCCTTCGACTTTGAAATTAATCACTTTTAAGGATAGTTTTTATATTTAAAGGATATTTTTTATAGAAAATCGTTTGTAGTAGATTGTAATAAAATTATTTTCGTTTGCAGTTGCATCGTTTGCGAGGTATAATTATTTAAATAATTGTATAGAAATGAATTTTTTTAATTTTTAAGATAACTCAAATCAGCTTGCGCGACTCGATTCAGAATTTGTAGTTGTTTATAGTGATTTTCTGGTTGTTTGTAGTTGCACCGTTCAAAAGTTACAGCAAATTTACAATAAACAAATTACGTAACTTTGCCAATTTCTCAGATATCTTAAGTCCGATCACGGCATCATCCTTAGAATCGTTTGTAGTTGTTCGTAATGATTTTTCGATTATTTGTAGATGCCATGATCGGACTTGAGGTATCTGAGAAATTGGCAAAATTCATCAGTTAAAATAGTTGCTTTTCCCGGTTTTCATCCCCGACCGGTATTTTTACGTGGAGGCGCTTTTTGGAAGTGAACAAATGGATTGCAGTGTTTCGTCCAAATTTACTTTTATCTCGCTATGTTTCATTGGCCGATCAGTTGCTGAACTGGGCAGGAAATGAATTTCTTTTGGAAAACGTCAGGATCCAATGGACAAATGTCTGTTGCTATCTACTATACTATAGGTTTGATTTGAATATGGATCCTTTCGAACTTTTAGAACAAATTTTACAATAAAAGTGATAAAACGCTTGATATTTTAAAATTCTATATTCTTTAATTATCTTAAATCAATTACCTTTCAAATTTTTAACGTCTTTTAAATAATGATTTACAAAGATTTTCTTTTTTAAAAAAATTTTTGCACGATAGCTGAAAATACATATTTGCGTCTATTCTATGAACGTTACAGAGAACTGTCAAACTGCTGTCACATGTTCGGTGTCTTATAAGGACTTTACATTATAAATAACACGCAAATCTGCTTAATCTTATTCGTTTAAATTAAAAAGGTTCCTATTTGGAACATTCTCCCCTAATATACGAGTATATTTCAAGTAAAATTTTTGAATAAAAAAAAAAGAATTGTGCTTTAATATGCTGTGGTTATCAGGTCAAAAATGGAGGACTTTTGCGCTACTTTGGTGTATCTAGAGTTTTATTCTCAAGCAGCACACAGCGCCTAAAAAAATAAGCACTAAAAAATGTATATAAGCGTTTTATTAGCGCTTTATTTGGGGTCTACAATATTAAGTCGTAGAAAATTAATCAATCATAGTTCAAAATATGAGAAGAATAATCTACTATGATTAATGAATTTTCTAAGACAACCCTTATATGACCACTACGACTTTTATTGCAGACCCTGTATTACAGGGGCTGCTGTGCTACTTAATTGTAAAGTTACTATAAAGTACCGCAATTGATAAGTCTGAAAATCGAGTAAACAAACTCATATTATTTGTTGTCATTTTTAGATCAAATC